CCCACCATATACCTGTTTGCCCTCATCTGACCCATGCCTGCTGTATGACCACGTCTCTGTCTGTGTCGAGTAAAGCTCTGCAAATGGATCCGCATGTCTCACGTCTCGTCAGCCATGTAACAGAATACTCGGCCACACAAGGATCCAGCGGCTTTTTCAATGGACTCTGGCCTGGTATGGACCCAGTCACCGAGCTACTACATCTTCGGCAAGGAGGTCTTTCCATTGAGGAGTATGTTCACTGGTTCTGTGAACTATCTAATCAGGTACCACTATATGACGAAATTTTATTTAAAGACTTGTTCCGCTTTGGACTTAATGAACCCACAAAATCTTGGATGCCAAAGAGCAAATTCAACCATAGCCTAAGAGACTATATAGACTATGCCTTGCTGACTGCTGGTTCAGCGTTCACGGTGGGTGTCGCAGAGGATCAAGTCACAGTTCCTTTGCACGAGTCTAGTCAAGTCACAGTTGATCGTCATGAGTCAAGTCAAGTTACAATTCGTTATCATGGGTCAAGTCTAGTCACAGCTGATCTTCACGAGTCAGGTCAAGTTACAATTCATTATCATGAGCCAGGTCTAGTCACAGCTGTCCTTCCTGAGTTCAGTCAAGTCACCACTGATATTCACGAGTCTTGTCAGGTCACAGTTCCTTTGCATGAGTCTAATCAGGTCACAGTTGATCATCACGAGTCAAATCAAGTCACAGTTTATGATCACGGGTCTAGTCAAGTCACAGCTGATCTTCATGAGTCGAGTCAAGTTACACGTCATTATCATGAGCCAGGTCTAGTCGCAGCTGATCTTCAGGAGTCAAGTCAAGTCGCAGCTGATCTTCAGGAGTCAAGTCAAGTCGCAGCTGATCTTCAGGAGTCCAGTACAGTCGCAGCTGTTCGTCCAGAGCCCAGTACAGTCTCAGCTGTTCGTCCAGAGCCATGTCACGTCACAGCTGACCTTCTAGAGTCCAGTCACGTCTCAGCTGATCATTCAGAGTCATGTCACGTCCTGTCTGTTGCATCCAGATTGTCGAGGTCGGTCCGCCGGTATCCCAGTCTGGTGTCCAGTGTGAGGGATGCACCGCTGGATGTAACAGCCAGCTTGAGGAATAAATGTGAACTGCACTCGAGTCATCAGATATTTAATTATTGTTGTGCAGAAAATATATATACACTTACACTATTTCATAGCTCAGGTCACTAGAGACCCTATAGACTTTTTACAAAACCAGCTTTACATTTCTGTCTTGTTATATTCTTTATAATAATAGTGAGGGATACTAAAAAGGTTTGTCTGACTTGTATTAAAAACAGTAATAACATATTAGTTCTTTTTTACCATCTTATGCACATATCCACATATACTAGTATAAAATACATACACGTCCAATCAAAATCTACAAAACACTTGAAATGCAATGCAATGACGCGGTCTCATTTGAGGTAACTAAGGGTCGGAGAGAGTGGGGTAAGTTGAGCCAGCCCCTGTTTCTTGGCAACTATACACTTTTACTGTCATGTGAGCATGTATTTTGGAACCATCCATTATTTCTGCCAGACTGAAAAGTTGGGATGCACCGATATGAAAATTTTGGCCGATACTGATAACCGATTATTCTTTATTTTTGAAAGCCGATAACCGATATGTTGGCCGATAAATCGTGCATCCCTACTGAAAAGGAGAAACACATGGGAGGAGTGGAAGGCACCCATTTACTTTAAAAACTGTTTTTCGCTTGTTAAAGTAACATTTTAGCATAACAGATGTAATGGCTGTTACATCAAAGCAAATTAATGCAGGTCTAAAAGTATTTATGATGCATATTGTTGATTTAGCAACATATAAAGCCATGCAAATCATTTAGCCTGACAATAGTATTCTTATCAGGCGCTACTCAAACTCTGGTTTAACATTAAGCATGTGGGAAACGGGCAGATTTAAAACTGTTCTACTTATTTATCCGTTTTTAAGCTCTTCATAGCCTGCATTTTGCCATTTCAACAGCTTAGTTTCACGCCGTGTTCTTTTGTTTTAAGTGCATTAAAGCGCTTTGACCCTCATTGATATCTTCAATAAAATGACCTACGATATAAATTAGTATTATTAACACTTTACATAATGCGTGCGCTGCAAATCAAAAGTAAACCAGTACGAGATTCTGCGGTTAAACACTTGTGTGCCCTAAAAGGATTACACAAATTATTATAACTAAAAATGATCTTAAAATGAGGACAAAAAGTTACCCTTTGCCTCTGTTGAAGCGCTTGAGGACGCCATGGTGCAAAACAACTGCGCAGCTCTAAGAAGCGGCGACTTCCTCAAAGCAGTGATTCTTCTTGATTTTAATGGCGGTGGCATACAACTTCAAGCTGCATTACCGCCACCAGCTGGTTAGTGTGGGCTGAGATCGCAAAACCCTTTTCTATGGTGATCGAGAAGTGCAAAACAAATCACAATTCTGAAAACAAAACAACAAATTACAAACGCAAATGCAAGTCTAAAAAACTAAATAACAAGTCAGAAAACACAAGGACAAATCAGACAAACCGGAAGAGGTAGGTATAGTTTGAGACAGCGCCATTGGTTTGGGATTACTCACCGCTGACTGGACGAGACATCTGCCAATCACCGTATACAGAGAAGAACCAGCCGAAGAACAGCAGAGTCCTGGTAGAAAGTTCGGAGATGGTATTAAAGTAGCTCAGTTTAAATGTATTGTATGAATTGCTCTTACTCTGGAATAAAAAATACGGAGTGTATATTTACATTCAGTTAAAAGTGGCTGTAAACCATCAGCTCCAGTGGCGCAGATGGATGTGTGTGTGTTGTTGGCTTTTTGACGCGATCGATCCGGATTCGATCCCACCTTTTGCCAAACTTTTTTTCCCTCCCTTTTCTAGTGTCATTAATGAGGAACTTGAGTCAGAACATCTAAGTGCCCTCAATGGTCTATTTTCCTCAACCCACTGCAATGCCAATACAATTGCGATCATTTCTCCAGTGTATAGTAGGTGCGTTTCCATTACAGAAGCAGCAAAGAGAGCCGCTTCAGAAACGTGCGTGGCGCGGCTGGAATAAACCATAGCCTGTATAAAAACATAAACACAAGCATTGAGTGACTGTATCAGAGCCACACTGCACCGCAGACGTGTGCGATGTAAATTGTCTTAAGCATTAATGGTAGGGAAAGCCCTTATACTGGAGCACGGCCACTTATGAAGTGTTTCTTGGAGGTTATAGTACACTGAAGAATGATCATATGACTTTTTACATACGCCATGTGACCTGTAAATGCGAAAAAGCCGTTTCCGTTGCAGTTTTGCGAATTAATCCTTTTTCGCATTGCCTGAAAAACCACCTCGTGCGAGCGTAAAAACCTTTTTGCGATATATGGGAGTTTTTGCGAAATTGACACGTTCCCATTAAGTGTATTTTCAATTCGCAGTTTCAATGTGCACAATTTGAAGGGTAATGGAAACGCGCCTAGTGATAGATTGTCTGCGATTCTTTTGTTAAAAAAATAGACCATTGAGGGCACTTAAATGTTCTGACTCAAGTTCCTCATTAATGATACTAGAGAGTGGTCATACCGAGAGTAGATCTGATGTACTGGTTGAGATCCTTTAGACATTATACAGGATTCAGATGATGGGTTTAAAGGTATCTTTCTGTTGGATACCAGCTCATAAAGGAATAAAAGGAAATGAAATGGCAGATGAATGTGCTAAAGAAGCCACAGGAAAATCAGATATAGACACGAAAGTAAATTACAGTAAGACTGAGATTAAGTTTTTAATTAAACAACATGTGAAAGGCTCAGGAAACCTTTGCAGGTGTTTAGCTGATTGGTATGTCACCATATTCTAATTTGTTGAGATAGTGAATTGGTGGGTTTTTGTTAAATGTGAGCCAAAATCATCACAATTAAAAGAACCAAAGACTTAAACTACTTCAGTCTGTGTGCATTGAATTTATTGAATACACGAGTTTCACAATTTGAGTTGAATTACTGAAATAAATGAACTTTTCCACGACATTCTAATTTGAGATGCACCTGTATATAGATGGATATATTAGAGCGGGATGACTGCTACATTTGTTTGGCGTTTGCCAGGACTGCTATAAAGCCACAATAAGCTTTGCAATGTTGCCTTGTGAAATCGAACCGGACCAAGAAGAAATTGCAACATTGTAACAAATGAAGTCTCTGTTTGGGAACTAAGCAAACGATGTACAGGTCTGAAAGCACCCTCAGACGCCTCGTGTGTGTGTGTTTGAAGGGGACTGAGATGAGAGAGGGCAATAATCCGTCGTGGTTCAATCCCGCTGAAGCTGTGCAAGTCATGATGTACTGCTGCCAGCTCGCGAAGAGACTCTACAATCCCATCGCAGTGACCGACATCGGCGTCATCACTCCATATAAGAAACAGGTGAGTGTCTGAGTTTCAGAGCAGGTTTAGATCTGGGGCCTGTACCATGAAGCCGGTTTATCTGGCTAGTTTCAGTTTAGTTTGCACCAATCCTGGGTTTTAGGTACCATGAAAGTGGCTTGGCTTTTAGCAGCATTCACTGTCATAGTAACTTGCACTCCACAGCTGCTCTGGAGCTGGTTGTGTTCTGGATTAGAGATCTCGAACTGAAGTTGGATCAATCAGATGCAAGCAAAGTGACACATGTCTGTCTGACGCAGAAAGAAAGTCACTCAGAGTTTCTCTTCCTACAAATTAACTCTTTCCCTGCCAGCGTTTTTGCTGATTTTCACTAAAATTTCATGACACCCAGAATATTTTGCTGTATGAATATCTGAACATGCAGTACATCAAAATAAAGATCAGACCCTCTGCTTTCAAACAACAAAAATCTGTTCTAGCTTCACGTTTTTTTTTTAAATTAATACGTGAGCACTTAATGTGCTTTCTACAAAAAGCGGAGAAAATCGCATTTTTATCAAATACTACATCTGGATCATATTCCGTAATATTATCAAAGCAAAGCTGCAGTAGATGGCTTCCATCAGCGCTCCCAAAGCTTGCACACTTTCTGGATCCACGTTTCGCTCGGGAACATTAGGCAGTTTTCATTTATACGCGGTAGTGTTGTCACGGTACCAAAATTTCAGTATTCGGTACCAATACCAGTGAAAATCCACGGTTCTCTGTACCAAAGCAAAACACAAAAACATATTAATTGAACAACATCAGTAAAGAAATGGGCTGAGTCTGAGTCTGACCACATACAGCATAAGATCATTGACACCAGCTAAAATATAAAAATTGTCTTAAGCATTAATGGTAGGGAAAGCCCTTATACTGGAGCACGGCCACTTATGAAGTGTTTCTTGGAGGTTATAGTACACTGAAGAATGATCATATGACTTTTTACATACGCCATGTGACCTGTAAATGCGAAAAAGCCGTTTCCGTTGCAGTTTTGCGAATTAATCCTTTTTCGCATTGCCTGAAAAACCACCTCGTGCGAGCGTAAAAACCTTTTTGCGATATATGGGAGTTTTTGCGAAATTGACACGTTCCCATTAAGTGTATTTTCAATTCGCAGTTTCAATGTGCACAATTTGAAGGGTAATGGAAACGCGCCTAGTGATAGATTGTCTGCGATTCTTTTGTTAAAAAAATAGACCATTGAGGGCACTTAAATGTTCTGACTCAAGTTCCTCATTAATGATACTAGAGAGTGGTCATACCGAGAGTAGATCTGATGTACTGGTTGAGATCCTTTAGACATTATACAGGATTCAGATGATGGGTTTAAAGGTATCTTTCTGTTGGATACCAGCTCATAAAGGAATAAAAGGAAATGAAATGGCAGATGAATGTGCTAAAGAAGCCACAGGAAAATCAGATATAGACACGAAAGTAAATTACAGTAAGACTGAGATTAAGTTTTTAATTAAACAACATGTGAAAGGCTCAGGAAACCTTTGCAGGTGTTTAGCTGATTGGTATGTCACCATATTCTAATTTGTTGAGATAGTGAATTGGTGGGTTTTTGTTAAATGTGAGCCAAAATCATCACAATTAAAAGAACCAAAGACTTAAACTACTTCAGTCTGTGTGCATTGAATTTATTGAATACACGAGTTTCACAATTTGAGTTGAATTACTGAAATAAAGGAACTTTTCCACAGCATTCTAATTTATTGAGATGCACCTGTAGACAGTAGCAAGACAGAATTAATGCTATGAGTAGTTAAACATGACACTGTTACTTGAACCAGGGAGCAGGTATCGTTTAAAGAATAAAGAATAACTAAAATATGTTTTCAGTCGCATGCATAAAACTTCAACTGGAACGCAGAATCTATTACTGTGTACGCCACGTCTACTCTGTTTTCAATATCTTTTGATGCATCTGAGTAAATCAAGACATAACAGCTGATATGATAATATAACTGACTGTTCGTCCCTGTGTGATGTCTGGATGTTGTTTGCTGTTCTTTGTGCTCTCTCCATTTTTACTTTCACTTTCACAGGAGACGCTGATTGGTTCCTGCTGCTGTCAATCATCCGAGTGGGGCGGGTTAAAAACCAGAGCAGAAAATCAGATTTAAAACCAGATTTGGTAAAACAAACATTTATTTAATGCAGTATTTGCTCAAGTTTTCTTGAAAAAAAAAAAGTAACTTTAAACAGAAATCGTTTATAATCTTTTGAAATTCCTATCCTAGCCTGACTCCAAAGGTTGTTTATTTATTCTTCAGTACAAAACTGCCTTAAATTTGACAAAGAGTCATTTTATCATGTCTAAATATAAATATAAAATGGTGTACTATCTAGTGCCTTTGGTTGATATTCTTATTTTGAGTCAGTTGCTCAGTTTCTCCACTAGATGTCAGTGAAGCTGCACTGATTCTGAAGAAATGACAGAAATGTATTCAATTATTTTAGCTTCATTAGGAACTATCTGAAACAATGACACTACATCGTCTTCTGTAGAGCTGCTTTAGAGCTGAAATCAAAGCAATTACAAGATTAAACATATGAGTAATTTCCGAAGCAGCTTTTAAACATTTACTTCAATAGAAAAATAATAATAATTTCATCTGTGTAACTGACATAAACTGGGGGAAAAAACATATATTATTGCATACAACTTTATGAGTAAAGAGACACATTTCTCTGAAATAATTAGATAAATACGAAAATATGAATATGACTGAAGAAGAGATGGCCTGAAGGAGGTGAGTGAGGATAGGATCAAGTGGACAAGTAGTAGGATGATTGGAAGCAGCGTGTTGACGTCAGCAGCCTGGGGTTTTTCTAGGTGGATGTTGAAGTCACCGAGCAGTACCAGAGGAATACCATCCTCAGGAAAGTTTGAAAGTAACACATCCAACTCCTCCAAGAAGTTGCCCAGTTGACCTGGGGGACGATATATGACTACAAAGTGAATTTTAACAGGGTGGGTAATAGTAATTGCATGTGATTCAAATGAACTGTTACCTGTAAGAGATGGTAGAATATCACATTTCCATTGATTTGAGATAAGGAGACCAGTACCTCCACCCTTCCCAATCGTGCAAGGGTTGTGGGAAAAAGTGAAATTAGTGGAGAGGGCTGCAGGAGTGGCAGTATTCTCAGGTTTGATCCAAGTCTCAGTTAGGGCCATGAGGTTGAGACCGGAATGAGTAGCTATAGAAGAAATCAATTCTGCTTTGTTAACAGCAGACTGGCAGTTCCAGAGACCAATTGGAATAGAGAGTAAAGTAGTAGAGGACAGAGGGACAGGCCGTAGATTATTAGGATCAGCCTGTCTCTAACGTACAGTGCGTGATTTCCGAGTGTTATTAATAGTAGAGATTTGAAGGCACATAGTGAGTACAATTGTCCTAAACAAGTAGATGAGAACAAGCTGTACAAAGAGTAAAGAAAAGTAAAGAAAGGGCAGGAAAGCAATACTCAAGTGCCTTGTTTGTGTCCTTGCTCGGTGGAGTCGATGGTCTTTACACTCGTCGGTCTTCACACGAGGAGGCATTACACGAGGGCTGCCACGGTGAACTAACCAATTTTATACTTGCCTGAAGTCAGCTGACCACGCCTTACTATTTAGCAAACCGAAAAAACTGCTGTCCTCTTCTGCTGCTCGACTGCTTCTTCTAACAAATGCTTCCAAACAGGTAAATAAGTACCTTTACTGGCTTTGGCCACGCCTTACTATTTAGCAAACCGAAACTGCAAATGTAATTAAATGTAAACATATAATGATCAAGAGTGAACCATACACAGATGATTATGAATTATTCGTCCTGTTGATCAAACACATCAGATATTTCCTCTGATTGCTGTCAGTCACTCTCTGTGTGATTTATCAAGACTGAAAGATACATCAGAAACAGTGAGGGACACAAACTCAAAACATATTCATTTCATTTACGCTCTCATTTATATTAATTATAGTGAGAAGCTGCTTCTAATACAAAATCTTACCTTTGAACACAGCTTTACACAGTGCTTTCATATTCCAACGAGACTATCAATATAATAATGCAGAAGAAGTATTGTTCATATCCATATAATTTTCCTCAATGTTGCTCTTGTATGAATCACAAAACTCTTTACTGAATGCTGCCTACTTATTAAAATAATAAACAAACAGTAGGTTTTATTCCACGATAATACAGTTAAATAATAATAATCTTGCTTATATTGTTAACGCTACAACTAAAACTATTAATAATATCTTCATTAATTAAAATAAATCTTAAATAATATAAATAATAATTATTAGATGAAAATCTAACTATTAAAATTAAATGTAAATTAGAAAAGCCATTTTGGCAACGAATTGAAATAAATTAACTTGAAGCATTAAAATTACTAAAACTAAAACTGAAATAAAATTATGTATAATTAAATTTGAAGCTAAATAGAACATTTTTAAAGTAATAAAAATGACAAAAGCATATAAATTATTTAAAATAAAATCTAAAAATAAAACCCAATTCAAAATATAAATAAAAAAATTAAGTAGTATTTAAACAGCAGTCATCATATGGGAAATAAAAACGGCTAAAATCACTTCTGTGTCTTTCATGAGACTGAAAATGAAAGTCAAGCGCACTGAATTCTGGGATTGATTATTTCTGAAAGTTAAGCTGCTGATTCTGGTGCAGTAGATGATCTGGTTCTTCACACATAATGCTGAAATCTGTCAATATTGCATCATTTCCAGTGTGTGTGTGTGTGTGCGAGCTCAGATCTTCTGCAGTCAGACTCACTGTTCTGGACGATGTCCTGCATCTTCTTCCAGACTCTGATGCTCAGGTTGCCCAAGTAACGCGGCACATGAATCAAAGCTCCAGAAGGAGTCTGTGGATCCGGCTCTGATGAGATCTGGACTCTGGAAGAACATTCAGGATCAGAACTGCAGTGGCTTTGGATCAGAAGCAGAGAGAGCAGAGACAGCAGCAGATCACTCACCTTTCCATTGAGACTGGAAACTCCTGCAGAACAAACACA